AACCTTCCTAGACTCTCTTCAATCCCAACCAAAAGCAACCCCGAAAAAGAAACCCGCCCGCCTCGGGAACACTTCCAAATTGCCCGACAAAGGTTATCAATAAAAGGTTGATAACCGCAAAAGGGAACGTTGATGGAAGAACGACGACGCGCGACCACATCACTCTTCTCGCTTCACGGTTATCACCTTCACCACCCCCCCCCCTCCCTCGATTAACGGAGAATCGCCACAAATCGCGCAAACGTCCGGCGACATTTTTTTGACTCGTCGACTGATAAGCGCAAAAAGGTTAACGACCATTCTTGACGAGTTTATTGCTTTGTAAACGCACTGGCTATGAGGTGGCATGGGTGGGGAAGGAAGTAATGAATCTTCGTTTTGAAAATTAAAAAATGTGAAATTTTTTTTAATTTGAACGCTCTTCTTAATTTAGAGTGTACTTTATGTGAATTTTCTGCAATTTTTTTCATTTTTTACGTATTACGTAAAGGAAAAATCTAATTTTAATTTTTTTAAATTTTCATTCGCCCACCCTTTGGTCCTCATGTCTTTCCTAGCCTTAAAGAATCAGTAAAGACTATTTTTTTAAATTTAAAATTTTTGAATTTTTTTAAAAACCTTTTTTTTTCGTTTTTTCTTTTTTAAACTAGAATAAAATTGTAAAGTTACAAGTGTTTTTTTTCTGTCTATTTAGAACGCGCACTTTTAACACATTTTCAAAGTTTTATTGTTAATTCGAGCGACTCATTTCCTACTTTCAAACAACTACCTTCAAGGTGTTCCAAATTAATTTAAAAGTAAATAGAAAAAAATGTAATTTGATCATTAGTTAACTTAACGTTGTAAAATAAAAAACAGCAACCTCATATCTTCAGATTACAATTTTAAAAAAATTAAAATGAATTTTAAAAATTTTAATTCTATATTAGGTTGTTCAAGCACTTCTGTGCACCCTTTCAAAGCAAATTTCCGGGGTTGGGGGCGCAGGATTATTTGCACAACATAGTAAAATTTTTAAAACCTTTTCCCCCCCTCCACCTCCACATTCAAAAAATTACCTCTAGTTTCTCTATTTTTAACATCTCTTTGCTATCTCCTCACTCCTTCCCTCTCCCACCCCCAGCCCAAAAAAATTATCAAAAAATATGCCATACCCAAACTTCCCCTTAAAAATAAAAACAAACCCCCAGTTTCGAAAAAGTACAATAATTTCAAAACTCTGGTAAAATTAGCGTTATGCCGTGTCAGTCCAGTCCCGGAATAGTGTTAAGAGTGCAGTCGAACGTGTCAAGGAGACAAATTAGGTGGACGGAACGGCGGTCAGTCGGGATTAAATCAAGATTAGGTGAATGTTGAGTCAGAGTTTCAGAAATTAGTGAAAGAGCTGGCGGGCGTGGGTTTTTTATGTAAATTTGGTAAATTGTAAATTTTAAAAAATTTACTTTAAATTTTGAAAAATAACAACTATCCAATCTTTCGTTGCGGGACCAAAGGTTAACAGGGCCTTTATTAAGGCCCGGCCCTCGGGCAAACATTTTTAGGGATGAGAAAGCGGCTTTGCATAAAATTGAAACGGGCATGACCTTAAATTTGGGCCTAGCCCGTTTCTTTCTCCTACACATGTGCCAGCCTATCCTTTTACAAAGTTTCTTTGGCCAAACTCAAAGCCAGGCCAATGCCAAACCTTGTGAACTCCCTTTTAAGTCTATACTTCTTCTTTTCCCTTCTCTCTTCCCTTCACCTCCCCTCCAATAAAAATAATAAAAAAAATTTTGCACATCCAACGAAGGAGAAGTTAGTATTTTACAAAAAAAATCATTTTCTTTGACGAAATTACTCACCATTAACAGAGAATTGATCAACTTCACACTTGTGAACACTTCAGCCGGCTAGATAAAATCTTTATGCACTTTAACAAAAAGAGTTAACAAAGTGCGACAGTTAACTTTCTCTCACCTGCGACAAGAAAAGTATTCGAATTTGGAAGAAAGGTGGCGACAGAAGGTGTCGCAGATGTTAAAGTATTACTTAAAATTTAAAATTTTTAAAACTTGCAGCGTTTAATACTAGGCTGTTCATTTAATTTTATGACCTAAAGAGTTGTTTCATGAAGAACAAAAGATTTTTGAACAACCTAACAGTTATTACTTTGAAAAATTAAAGTACTGTACAGTGAAACCTTCTGTATATCTACCGCCTTTATAATGAACAAATTAAAAAGCCTCGAACGATTAGTTATACTAAAGTTCAACTATACTATATTCAAAATTTTGGAAAATTTTTTAAAATTTAAGCAAAATTTTAAAAAATTCAAAAAAAAGAATCATAAGTCATTCCACTAAAGAATTTCACAACTGCACAGTGCAGTCCCTGGGAAAATTGCGCCCTTTTTATTCCACCCTGCACAGTGCAGATTCACCTGCGACTCCCCTTTCAATGTCGCAGGGTGCAAGCGAATGTCGCACGACTCGCTGTATGTCGCGCGACGTCCCCCAATTCACGGCGCGATAGCGATTTCTCCAAATTGGGGTTTGCGATTTTGTGTAATTCTTTAGTGGAAAGACTGATATTTTACTAAAAAACTTAAACTTCAGAAACCCAATTTTGGGCGACAAAAACAAGAAAAGATGAGCACCTACTTTAACACATTTGAAGACAATTACCAATTCAACAACTTTAAATGTGGAATTTTATGAGAAACCAAGCATAAATTAACCTTTTCTTGATATAAAGTGTTTTTGAAACTTATTTTTTAAGTTAAAAAGCCAAGCAAAAACATTTTAAAAATTAAATTTTTACAAATTTAAAAAGTTTAAAAAATTAGAAAAATTTTTAAAGCCTTTAAACAAGTTTGTCTAAAAAAAGTGTAAAAATGAAATTTAATCAAAAAACACATTGTTTTTGTTTAATTTGAATACCGGAAGTGGTGGCGTCGCTTATCATAGGTAAACGTTTTGATAGGAGTGTTAATAAGGTTTATGACAGATTTAGAACCTTTTTGGAATGCTGGGCTTAAAATTCTTTAAAAGTTCTTAAAAAGTCTTATAAATTCTAAAAATGTTTTAAATTTGTAAAATACGAAATTTGAACCCAGTATAATTTAAAATTTGTTATTACTTTTTTAACAAGCGAATTGCCCTAAACATCCCACGGATTTTAAAACAAGGCATATATAGGATGAAAAAGCATAAAAAGTTGTCATAAAGACTATTTTCAAAAAACGCTAAATTGGCTTGGCTAGCGACTTACAGTACGCTCAATATTCTTAAATGTTTGAAAGGATGTCTTTAAAATTCAACCAATTATATTTTTTAATTAATTTTTCTAAATGTGACTAAATGCCAAAATTGTGACTAAACTACATTTTTTAAACAAAAATATTGGTTGGCTAGCCAAAACGTCTTGTCATAGTTGCAAAACACCAAAACAAAATCGGCAACTTATTGTCTTCTGCATGCCAGACTAACTCCTTAACCCCCCCCAATCACACTGCTTTTATAAAAAAACAAAAGGAAAATTTTAAACCATTTAAAGATAACTAGTATAATACTATATAGTAGTTACTTCAAAAAACTGAGTTTTCGGTAAGTAATCAAAAGAAGAACCCAATATTGTTTATAAACCCATAATATTTCCTCAATTTTTAATAAGTCGCGAAGTTGGAAGCGACAGAAATATAAAACTTTTGCCGCTCCAATCTCAAAAGTAAATAAAAACAGAAGCAAAAGTCGTCTTAAACCCTCGGAATACCGTTTGACTTTCGAATCAAATTATTACGGCCCGCAGGCTAAAATACGGACAGATTATAGGCTTTTCACTGGGGTAAAATACGAGGTGAAGATAGTTGATAGCATAAATAGAAAAGTACAGTAAAACTCTTGTATAACAAGCTCTTCTATACCCAAAAATTGCATTGAGCACATAATTATTTGAAACATATGATAAAAACTGCACCGTGCAGATTATTTAGAACCACGTTTCTCCTGCAAAAACCTCAAACTTATACCCAAACAATCTACACTACAACCCATACAAACTATAAAAACACGTAACGGAATGTTTGTTTTGTGATGCGGCCATAAATGTACTTTTTTGTGAAGAAATTTACATAACTGTATTTGGCCAACTGCGCCACCATTATCAAGTGTTTGACTGTTTATTATATGACAAATTTGCAAAATATACATGACTCAAACATTAGACTAGACCAAAGCAGCACATGGTAACAAAATTTTTTTAAATTTAAAGTGGATTCAAAAGTTTAAAAAAAAAGCGTTGCACTGTGCAGATTTTTTTATTTATGCATTGTGCAGTGCTAAAAATTAAATTTCTTGGGAGTACTGTAACTTTTAAAAAAAATTGTTAAAGATCTGGTTTTAAAAAACATATATATTACTTTAACTCATATATTATTTATCACTTTATGTTAATGTACTTATCACTATCTAATCAAATCCCAGGCAATTTTTACCGTTTTACGACCAGAAGCTGAGTTGTTTACTCTCGACTAAATAACCTGATAAGTCGTCGAGAATGCAAGTTCAGGCATGCTTAGTCAGGGTCATTAACGTTTGCTATAAATTTTGTTTTATTACCAGTGATAAGGTTTATATTATCTTACGTAAGTCAATACAAATATCATAAAGTATAAATAATATAAAGATCTATTAATTACTAAATAAAAAAGAAGCAATTTGGCTACAACGTATTTTACATGGTTGAATTTGGCTGTTTTAAAAATCTTTTAGCGTTTCGTATAAATTGACCCTTTCAACTGCGCCCAAATCCAATCTTTTTCGGCCGTTTTTTGATCGAAACACCCCAAAATTTTTGCGAAAATATGCCCATCTTTTGACAATTTTAACCAAACCAATGTTTAAAATGGCAGGATAATGTTTGAACGTTAAGAATAAGACTATCGGATATTATAGTAAGTCAAAATCAATTTATTACACGTTTTAAAGCTGAGTTTTTGTGAGATAACAATATAATTACATAGTTCAGAGCCATCGACCTGTTGGTCGCGACAATCCTGGCCATTGTGTTCTGGCCGGTCCTACATGACTATCGTCTAATACCATCGAATCGATTGGACTTCTGTGGAATGAGGGTTTTTTGATGTCTGCTACGACCTAAAACAATATAATTTTAATGGAAATAAGTGATGGTATGGGGTAAGTGCTTTTTCATGAAAAAATTTTCATATTAATTTAGATTCTTCTTTTATCTTTTAAAGTCAGTTTTCTTTGTTTTAAGCTTTAATTTTAAGCTTAAAACACCAATTTGCTCCTTACCATCGCAGTTGAATTATATTGTCCATGAGCAAAGTGTTCGACGTCGCCATGAAGACATTCGGACAAGAATTCTTCGATGAATCCAGCCATGGCCAACACATTACGAGGCTTTCTGGGGCCATGACCTTCATCGGGATAGACGACATAAGTTACTGGAATGTTATTCTTCTTGAGTTCATCGACGAATTGATCGGACTCTGATTGTTTCACTCGAGGATCGTTGGAACCGTGAATGATCATCAATGGATTCTTGACTTGTTTGGCAAAGTATAATGGAGATCGGCTTTTGAGAGATGCGCGGCCTGAATATATTGTTTTAGATAGGTATGTTTGGATTTTTCTTGATTTTTTACTTGTTTTAGATAGAAAAGGTGAGGTTTTAGGTAAAAAATATTGAATTTTAAGCTGAAATTGTTCGTTTTTCAAATTTTAAAATAATTCATATTGTGGCAAAGATAAGAAATAAGGTTTTTCATTTTTTCGTCGTTCAGGTAAAAATTTATATTTTAGGTAACAAAACTTGATTTTAAAGCTAAACCGAGCTTTTATGAGTTAGAAATTACGGATTTTGCGTTTGTTTTGCTATGTAAATATAAGCTTTTTTAATTTTCTGTGTTTTAGGTAACAACCTCTCAAAACACTCACCTTCTTCAGTCGTCTTATCAGCTCCCAACATAGTGATCATGTCGTTGTAAAATCCAACCCAATATGGGGGAATAGTCTCCAACAGCGTGATCAAGTTGCTAGGACCAACAATATCAACACCACATGCGAATACATCTGGAGTGAACGTCATACCAACGAGTGTAGCGTAGCCACCGTACGAAGCTCCAACAATGGCGATCTCTTCTCTTCTGGCAATGCCTTTTTGGACAGCGAATTCAGCGGCATCTAGAAGATCGTAGTGCATTTTGCGGCCCCATTCTCCATTTCCAGCGTTGGCTAGCCGTTTGCCGAAGCCCACGCTGCCTCTGAAGTTGACTTGCATGATGGCGTAGCCTCGGTTGGTTAGCCAAGCATTGAAAGCGTTGAAGCCGAAGAAGTCACGAGCTTTTGGACCACCGTGCACGAATAGGATCAGTTTTTGTGGTTGGACTGGCAACATTCCCTTCTTGGCTAGCTCGACGTTGTCACCATGGACTTGATCTTCACGTAGAAGCTGGGCTTGTGGAGGTAAACTGAGGTAGGCTTGGATTTTGAGACCGTCGCGGGCTGTGTAGTCGAATCCAACTTGTCGGTTTAGAGCTTTACCTTGAAGTTCTGGGCGAGTACTGAAGAGATACTCGGCTTTCTTGGCATCACGGCGGTAGAGGAAGAATTCGAAAGGCTTTACATCTGAGGTGTAGGTAACTAGCCAGGTGTTGAAGTCTGAAAATTAAGTTTTATGTTGTTATAGGCAAGCCTTTTTTATGTATTTTAATTTTCTAAGCTTATTTTAGGTAACAAATTCTGAATTTTATTTAGTGTTGGATCTAAACGGTCGATTTTTTCATGTTAGTAGTAGTTTACTACGCGTTAAAATATAGACATAGCAACTCATTAACCTACCATTACTAGTGCTTTCAATCATAGGCGTAGCCTGTGGCCTCAGGTTGACCAAATGTTGAATATCTTCTAAGATTGTCGTATTAGCGACATAGAACTCTGGTTTGTGATAGTATTCGGTAACAGCCAGTACTGTTCTGTCTTCTGGATGGAATATAACACCAAAGATTTGAGTACGAGCTGCTTTATATAGAACTTCGCTCTTCTCTGGATAACCAAATTCGTGTACTGTGAGTTGACCAAGATCAGTGTTGTCGGCTGTCAACCAGTAGGACTTTTTGTTGTCTTTGGAGAAGGCAATTGGCCTGGAATGGTGGGGTGGTTAATATGGTTAGAGGGGGCTCATGTAGGCTAGAAGTGTTTAAAAATGTTTTTAAATTTTTTTAATTACATTTTTTGAAAGTAGTGTAAAATATGATCAGACCTGCATTAAAGTTTTTAGGTACCTACTATATAGTATGAGTAAATACTGGATAGCATGGATTCTGTACTTTTCAGATACTAAACATAATGTCAAGCCAACTCACATAGTTAAAGGCCGGTCTTCAGACTTAACCGTCAAGTAACTGACCCAATCGTCCGGATCACTGGTCAATTTATTCAAATCCGCACGTTCAGAAGGCCTAAAGTAGACGACAGATCCATCGTCAGCTTCTTCCATAACGAATCTAATCCTCATTTCATTGTCTACAGTAATCTTGGCTGGGAACCTCTCATTGTGGAACACCATTCTCATCTCATTGCTAATCAGGTTGAGCTCGTAGACATTGTGGAAGGCTGGGTTCTCATCGTTTAGACCTACTAGTACTTTGTCGCCCTTCAAATTGTTATCAATTATCATGGCTTTGACTCCAGGACGATCAGAAATGGTGTGAACTGGAGTGTAGGGGGTGGATTCTGTGACGTTTATCTTGTATAGTTTGAGGTTTTCATCGCCGTCGTTGTCTTGAGTGTAGAGGATCATGTTCTTGACTCCTGTCCAGTGATATCCTGAAATTTTGGGCGATATTATGAAGGTGAAATACGCTTAGGGAAAAATTTGATTTTAACTCTAAAATTTTAAACTAACGGCTTTGCGATGACTGAAGACTACGGTATAAAACTGTTTTGTCTATAGTTTTGTTTGTTTTACTGTTTTCTTCACAAAAAACGAAGACAAAAGTGAAAAACACCTGGCTCGGCGTTTTTTGTTTACTACTTATTGTCCTTATTGACGTGTACCGTTAATGGTACTGTAAATGGAAGTAGAGTAAATTAGAAATGTAAAATACGGCTTCTTGATCACTTATGTCACTATAAAGCTGAAACAACACTAAAAATAATTTTTTTTTGGATTTTAGGTTATACTAAAAATGGCAGCAGTGAGAATTTAGTATTAGGATGGTATGAGGAGGAATTTAGTAGCAATATTTTTATGTTTTATCTAATTTTGTAAAAAATACAGTTTATCACAGTATCATACAAGAAAAACTTTAAATTTTAGGCTTATAAGTATAGTATCCTACAAACTAACCTTCAAATTCCAAATCCATAAGTATAGTAACGTACCTGTGATATGCTTTTTCATTTCGAAAGTGACAGCCTTCGTCACTTTACATGTGATACATCTGACAAACACATTACTGATACCATACTCATTTGGAGCCAAGAAAGCGACATCTTCTCCATCTGGTGATAGCGTCACTTGTGAGTATTTAGGGTCATCAAATAGCAATTCTCTTGAGATTAATTCTGTCACAACTGAGGTAGTAAAACATGATAAAAGTACGACTAGAAACTTTAGTTTTGGAGGCGAGGTTGATGACATTTTGTACGTTTTGTGATACGAGTTGTAAAATACGTTGTCTTGTGGTGCGTATGTGCGATGTAAAATCCTTCTTGAGAGGTTGAGAAGGTATTGACGCTTTGGTTAATCCAGTTTGAGGGAAAAAGCTAAAAAGTTGAGTATATACTGCTACATAAGACAATATTGTTTGTAAAATACGTTTGAAAAAAAAGTATATACTACACATTACTTATAAAGTCAAACTTCTTTACTATATCACTGAAGTGACCGGTACAAAACTGTCTTTATAATCAGGTTGTCACACTACCCAGATACGTCTTGATAATGGTTCATCAAGACGTACCTGGGAAGCGCGACATTACGTAGTGTCATACAGCTGTCATTATAAGGAGAGTATCACACTACTGAGGGTCATCTAAAGAGGTTTTACTGTTGTAAATACAAAATAGATAATTTCTCAAAGGTAGTTAGTTACAAAGAGGGACTACTATAACATTAGGGCTGTGTTAAGAGGGAGTTAAAAAATTTTTCACAAAAAATTTTTTAGATTTGAACTTGGTTCCCTGTTACTTTTTGAAAAAAAATTTTTACATATTTAACCCTTCCTCAGCCAAAAAATTTCTTTAAATTACGTTTTAAGCGACTTTGCCTTGAATGTCGACTTAAACTGAACAATATCAGCTACCGACCGCAAAATCAAAATTTCCCTACTGAACAACCAAAAAATTAAAACCTGGCTACTGACCAACCACCAAAAATTGCAACTCCCAATTCAGAACACCCGCCCCGAAGGTGGACACAGTTGCAACAGCTCGCGTATTCGCTCTAGGTCATTATTTTTGGGGACGGTGCTGAACAAACAAAAAACGGCTCGCTCTGCAGTAACTTCATTGTTCTCGCCCATTTCACTTTTAATGGTCCCCCCAAGAGGAGGCGTGAAAGCGCGCGGTCGTGACCCAACACTTTGTAGCACCTGACCTCAGGTCACTAACCAACGACTGACACTACTGTGGAACTGACACTGCACGAGAACGCTGCGGTACGCAAATATTTGAGGACGATGCAACTTTTTTGGATCGTTGTTTTGAAGCGAAATACTAATGTTTTTGGGCGGTGCAAAACGTGAGGGGGAAGAGAGGGCTTGATTTTTTTGAAAAAGAAATTTAATGATGATATAACAGTGAAAATTTGAAAAATTTTAGGTATGTTTAAAACAAATTCTAATGTCTTTTTTGGAACGAACGCTGGAATGATGTTTTCTTTCTTTTGGTTGCTTAGTGTTACAGATAACGACATTTTTTTTAAGTTTATGGATTTTCAAAGTTAAAAAAATCAAAATCCTTACCATAACACGACTTTAGGTAACAGTAAAATTGAAAAAAAATTTAAAAAAAAATTAATTATCGAGATCAAAAAATGGCGTTTTGAATTTTCCGGCAAAATGGAATAATGTTTTAAGTTTATAACTTTGTCATTTTATGACTTTTAATTATTTTTTTTGATATGCTAGTAGAAAACCTTTAAATGACCTACAATTTTAAAATTGTAAGCGTAACTTATCTGGAAAGGCAAAAGAAATGCTTGAAACACGTTGCCAACTTTTCAGGAAACTTAAATATTTAAAACTTAAAAACGCGAACTAAAATACTTTATGAGTACTGTTAGTGGTACAAAGAATTCATATAAAAATTTTGAGATGATTTAAAGAAACACAAGTTAATTTTCTCTGCTAGTACCGCAAAAAAAAGATTTTTTTTTCGTTTTTTTGGCTTGTTACGGCAAAAATGTTAAACTTATTGACTAAAAAATGATAAATTAAAAATTTCTAACCCAACAGGTCACAAAAAACGGCGAAAAACCTCAAAAATTTATTCATTAGCTGACAATATTTATTTATGGAAATACAAATCGGAACGGCCAGATTATATAGTGTGATTTGTGCGTCATAACATTTGAACAGGTGTCAAACGCCTTCATAAATAAGGTGGTTTGTCTATAATTAAAATTGTTTTGTGTGCAAAGTATCCTCCTTCAGATTCAGCATTTCAATCGGGTTCGACCAGAGGATTTTTGTCTGAAATTTTGAAAATAGTATGATAAGAAAATTAAAAAATTTATTTAAAAAAAAATTAATTTCGTACCTTTTTGTCATCATCCAACTCCTTGACAATCTTTCCGGGCTCCAACTCTCCCAACGGGAAGGGATAGTCAGTGCCAAGACAAATCTTGTCCCAGCCGACAACACTTGACAACAAACTTAGCGCATGCGTATCGTGCACCAAAGAATCCGTGTAGAATTTGCCATTAAATTCTGATGGATTCACTTTGGTGTCGCTTGCACAAATGTCCGGTCGAACTTTGAAGCCATGTGACACTCGACCTGCAATCTGCGGATACGAACCTCCACCGTGAGCGAAACATATCTTGAGACGAGGGAAACGCTCCAGAATCCCTCCCATCACTACGCAACAAATGGCCTGAGCGGTTTCGGATGGCATTCCTGCAAGATTTGTTTGTTTTACGATATTGTGATAGGTGTTAGGATAAGACTTGCGACGTATTTTATAAAGATACGTTAATAATTTGTGTAACATATGGTTAGTTTTGCTTTGGGATTTTAAATAAGTCAAACAATGGCATCAAGTGATAGAACATTCATATATTTTCAGAAACTTAATGGTGTAGTTATAAAGCGACACTTCCTTTTAAAAGTTTGAGTCCCTGAACTTGGCATAAGACTGATACTATTTACCTAATCTTATGTATCGCTAAGGATTTGGAAGTAAAAGTTACAGCTTTTAGTTGCAAAAAAAGTTAAAGTAAATAAACAAGTTTGTACTATAAAATGCTTCTTATCTTCAGTAGGTGTTCAACACTAAAACAAGAGCAGAAAAAGGAGCGTACTAAAGAGTTCTGCCTTTTGAATAGAGGGTAGTCCTAGCTAATAGACATGGAGAACTGACCGGGCCTGAGCAAAGTTTAGGTTGGGCCTAAAATTCAGACCCATTTCCCGTGTGTATAGCTAATTGGGTAGAAATTTTTTTTGTATAACAGAGGGAGGGGGTGTTTTTTTGTTTGTACCCTCAGGTTCCGGATCTAGAGTAAGGAAAGATTTTAAATTTTTGTTATTTTTGATTGAAATTTAGTAAAAAATAGTAAGTTTGCGATGTTTTTTGTTTTTGGCTTTATAAACAAACTAAAAAATTGCTTTTTTTGAAAACCTTTTCTTTGCCGAATCTAATAGAACTGTTTAGCATATCCAATAAAAACATCCGTTTTTGTCTAGATATTCCATTTCTTATACAAACAGAAGATTTTTGATATTGCATTTTATAGTACAATATTTTTTTTGGTTTTGTAAAATACGCCATGTTGCTTACGCACTGTAAACTAATGAGGAAAATGCCCGACCTGCTCCGCTTTGATTGACTTCAAACTTTTCATATAGGAAAATCATGTAAATATGACTTTTAGAAAAGTACTAAATTGCGCTTTCCTAGAAATAACGAGAAAATCGCGATCAAAAAATTACGTTTTGAATTCCGCGCCGAATTGACATTGTGTTTCAAGCTTATAATTTTGCCATTTTTTGATCTTTAAGAATTTTTCTTTGATATATTAGTAGAATACCTTTAAATGAACTTACATTTTTAAATTGAGTAAGTGTAATTTGTCTAGAAAGGCGAAAAATTTGCTTGAAACACAATGTCAAATTGGCGCGAAACTCAAATGTTTCAAAATTAAAACTCAAAAGCGCAAGCTAAAAGTTTTTATGGGTACTGTTGGCGGTACAAGAATTCATATAAAAAATTTGAGCTGATTCTGAGCTGGGCAGGTTAGGTACTTTTATTGCTAGCCCAAAATTTTTTTTTAATTTCAAAATTTTTTTTTCAAAAGTGTAAAAAAAGCATAAAAAATTATGCTTCTAAACTAGGTCTAAAAGGGGTCTTTGCTTGTCACAGGTCTATTTCAAACTTACCAACCAACCAAGGTAGCCAATACTTTTTCATGCGTCCATGCCATTCATCCATGTCCCAGGGATGGACGAATATGCACACATTCAGGTCCTGACATTCCTTATAGAGCGGCCAGAAATAAGGGTCATCCAAGTTTTTCTCCTCCAAGTGGGACCCAATTTCAATGGCGGTATGAGCCAGTTCCGATACGCAGCGACGTAATTCCTAAAATTTGGGTAATTACTACGCTAAGGTCAGCGATGTGTTAGAAAGTTATCATTTCGGGCTGGTTTATGGGCTTTTGGGGGTGTTTTGGCAAATCTTGAGATTTTTGTTTTTTTCAATTAAAAAAAAGTATTTTGTTGCTAGTACTATAGTTACAGGTCTAGTACTAGTACTAAAAGATCTAAAGTTTTTTTAGTTTGGTCTTTAAACTTGACTTAAAAATTTTTGAATTTTATGTGTTGAAACCAAATTTTTCTTCAAAATTTTAAAAAATCAGTCGATTTCTCACGCAGTCGGTTTACTGAAGAACGGGGTCGTATTACGCGGAAACTTCCGGTTCAATCGTTGTATACTATGTTTGAGGTTATGTAGGTGTGTTTCACGGATATCCCTGGGAACCCAAAGCTATGTTTTGTACTTTGGGTTATGATATAGAATTGTGGCTAGCTGTTTTTTTAATTTTTTGGAATTTTTTAGGAATGAGTGTGGAGTAAAATAGGGTAGGATAGGGTTGGTAGTTCAGGTCGGGTAGGGTCAAGGCAAGGCAAAGCATGGCCATGCAAGGCAAGACAAGGTAATGCAGATCATATCAAGACAGGACAGAGTAATTTAAGGTAGAGTAGGGTAGGGTAAGCTATAGTATGGTAAAGTAGGGTAGGCAAGACAAGGTTAACGAACGATAGGATAGGGAAGTTTGGGTAAAGACAGCATGAGATAGTGCGGGACAGAGTGAAATGAAAAACAAATGTTGAGGTTGCTTTTACTGGACTATTGTTACCAGCTTGACCTTAATTGTACTTTTAAATGCTTAACCTTTAAAATTTTAAAAACTGGTTAAAAACCAAAGTATTTTTTAAATTCAATATTTGTTTGTGACGGTAAATCATCGTTTATTATTACAACATTAAAAACAGACCTTATCAACCTCCAACTCAAAAGGATCCTACTAAACTTTAATCCGGACCAACGTTTTTTCGAGGCTAGGTTTTAAAGACGAAGAATTGGTTTGGTGTTTTTTTGGGATTCCGCCGAAAATGATGAAAAAAGAAGCCGAAGACAATAAGGTGCAAGCTGAAACCGGCGGCCGAAAAGTCGACTCTTTTTTTGTTCGATTCTCTGCCCTCGCGGGCTTGTAATGCCGAGTTTTTGTTTAGCCGCCATTTTTATGCAAAATTCGTGTTTTGAGTTATGATGACGGATTTAGTGGTCATTTCTGGATACTCCTCTGGTGCCATGTTGGCATGTACTTTGGAATGTATTGGGGTGGGTTTAGGACCGTATGGGGTTTGAAGTAGGCGGCGATGATAATTGGCGGGTTGGCAAAGTGGCGGTTTGAAGCGGGAATGTTCTTATATTGAGGTAGATAGACGATACTTGGAGAGTGGGGGGGGGGAGATAAAAAGCGTGTTAAAAATAGAAGCTACAGGCTTTTGAAGATCATGTTGTTTGAGAAATCTTTTATTAGTATTGTTTTCTGGAGAAGATTGTTTTTGCAATAGGATTTTTGAAAAAAGACAAAAACATGACATCATCCTCTTCGAAGGCATAAAGTCAAGATCCTTGATTCTGAATTTTGCTTTATTGGGATTCAGAATTTGTAAAATTGGGTACTGTGTTTAAAGAGTACTATACGTAACAATATGTATAATATTATAATACCAAGGAGATCATGGTACCTTATGGCGGAGTAAGTTAAGGTTGAGCAGGGTATGGCAGCAAGGCAGATCAGAGCAAATTAGAGCAAGGTAAGGCAGGACGGGGCAAGGCAAAGCGGGGCAAGGCAAGGCAGGGCAGGGTAGAGCAGGTTCAATTAGGCTGTTTATGCGTTTTAAATTGCAAATTTTTCAGTTTTTTGTTTTTATTGCCTTCCCCCCTCTCAAAATCTGCGCCAAAAATTACTGTACCTTTTATTTTTTTTTCACTTTTTTTTCAAAATTTTAAAATTCTTCTAAAACTGAACTGTTCAACCCCTCCACACTCAGCTGTCATACCGTAACCTTTCAAAGCGCATCACTCAACTTTGAACGATTTTATCAACGGTTTTATTAAAGTACAACATGTCTGCTGTTACAGAGTATGACGAATGTAAAAAGCGCGGAAAAGATTCTCTATTTTATCCCCATGAAACTTCATTCTTTGATGTGTGCGGAAATTGCTGGTATTCGAGAAAGTTTTATTGAGTGGCTTTGTTGAGTATTTGAATAATTTCGAAAAGTTTTTGGGCTATGAATAGTATTAGGATGGATTTGAGTAAAGTGCAATTTATAGGTTGATAGTTATATATTAATAAGCTGTGAATTCTGTGCCCCCTCGCAACGTAAATTTTTGATGTTAGGAAGCTCAGAATTATTTGAACAACCAAATACAATGGTTTTGAGTACAATCTTTTTTTTCAATTCCGATTGTAGAAAATTGATCTTTTTTTTCAACAAAACAAATTGAATTTCAACTGAAATATGATAATTTTAATGGAAATTTGGCTTTAAAATTGAGCGATTATATTATGTTACATCGCTTTTAAGGCGATTAAGTCTAAAATTGATTTCAAAATGCTTTTAGAGCTATTTATGTTTAAATGGCTTCGAATTTTAATTTTTTATGAAGTATAGTCGAGCGGTTAAGAGATTATTCTGGCGCGCAAAAGCCCGTAAGTTCGAATCCCGCCGTTTTCATTTTGGCGTTTTGCCATTATGATAAGACGTTTCGGATAGCCGGACAATACGTTTAAATTAAAATTTAAAAAAAATATTTTTTAGTCCTAAATCTTTTTTTAGTTACTAAACAAAATATTTATCAAAAAATTCAAATTTTAACACTGCAAGTTTTAAACATACGAAAATATTTATTGTACTTTAGCTCGCTTGCCTTTGCCATTTAGCAATTTTTGAAAATGATTTTCTCGGTAATTTTTTTAAAGCCCAGAGATATTTAGGGTAATTTCCTAGTTAAAGTCAAAAACCATTTTTTGCTAAAAATGTCGTCAAAGTCAACAAAAGCTATCGGGCGCTTCCTGGCATTGTGTTTCATTTCTCGTTTAATTAAAAAAATGTTATTACCGTAATAAAACTATTAAAACTCATTTTCTATAAAACTTTTTGGTGGCATTGCTTATAAAATTTATAACGACAACTCCCTCTCCGTATTTTACATTTTTTAAAAATTAAGCCACATTTTTATATTAAATTCTATTTTTTTAAAACGGTTTCAAAGATATGTCATCATGGAGTCTCATGAGATAAAATGTGACGTTTTACATATAATGTTGTCATGCTGCACTTTATGTGAATATGAATACTTTATACAATTTCGAAAAGACATAATTGAGTTTGCGCAGATCAAAAAGATTAAAGTTAGGGAAGTTATGGCCTTAGGGTCTTTTTTAAAATTTAAAATTTTGAAAATTAAAAATATTTTTTTGTACTTTTTCACTCCTACTATCCTTAGTCATTTACGACAATAACCTAAAAATTCAAAAAAGTTACAGTAATACCCCAATAGGCATAAATCAAACCCGTGTGGGCGCGACGTGTGAGATCCCTCGCCCAACGCAACGTGCTCTCCGCCGACACATTTCCAGACTTTTTTCCGGTGTCGTCAAAGTGTCGCTCCGCTTCGACGACACTTTTTTTCATTTTTTAAACGGGTGGGGGCTTCCACAAATGGGGGGAGGGGGCGCCCAGGGGGAGGGTCAACATACGAAGGGGGGGGGGTTTCGTTCAGCGCTTCCAAGTTTTTATCCGTTTTTACGTTTTCGACGGGATTTTTTGGGGCCGAATGAGGACGACGACGGACGGTCCGGCTTCTCCGTGTCTTCTGAATATGTGGCTTTTGCCCTTCCCCCCATTTCGCGGTCGAAGACGCGCAATTCCCCGGAGGGCCGGCGGCATTCTGTGCGATTTTTCGCATCGAAAAGCCATGGAAAAAGACGCCTGCCCTTTCGCTCCACAAAAGATTGGCCACAAATCCACAAACGTTTTTCTAGCCGAAGGGACAAGAGGTCAGCGTGACTTTCGCGTAGCCTTCGTGCATCGGTGAGATGTGGCGAGGCTACATCGTGCTGTAGGGTGATGGGCGTGCGGTTTTAGGGTTTGTAGGATTTGGTGAGGGTGTACTGTAGTCTGATAAGTCCTGTTTGGATCTTTTTGGAAACTGGTCGTTGTAATTTTGATTTTTTTTCTGATTAGATGTCCTTTTTAGGTGATATTTAAATCACAATTTTCTATTATAAGATGCTTGTAATCCAACTGTCATGTCAGCACGGGGAGGGTAATAAGTGTGAACGAGGGTAGTGAAAAGTATGATAACAAAAGTCTGGGTCGGGTATGGTAGGGCAAGGTAAAGTAGTGTAGGGTAAAGTAAGGTAGAGCAAAGTAGGGTAGAGTAGAGCAGTTTAGGTGAGATCAGGGCAGGGTAATGTTTGTTAGCATAAGGTAAGGTACTTCTTAAGTCTTTAAAAAAATCTAAAAATAGTCAAAATTCTGCAAAATTTTAAACTTCCAAAACTTCTCCCCTCCCCATTTTTTTTAAAATTGCTTTGTTGTTTCTACTGTGCCGTTCCAACGTAATAATTACGTTTTTACAACTCTCTTCTTGTTGACGTTTCCAATGATTTATGGCCCGAACAATAGGCATTGTCCAGCCCCATGCCTTTGTACAATGTTTTAAACTGTTCCGCTCGAGCGTATTTGAAAGCCATTTTTGTTACAAAAAGAGTAAAGTTTAATGAGTGTGCATGAGTTATGAGTATTTGAATAGCTGATAAGGCGGTTTTGGGGGTGAAAATCTTTGATCTATCACGATTACGTTACCTATAGATAGGTTTTTACGTAATAATTTTTAGAGTTCGTGCTATGTATTACTAGTGCTAATATTCGTGATAACTAGTACTAATGCTCAAGTTTGTGCTAACTGACAGTGTGAAAGTTCGTGCTAACTAGTACTAGTGCTAACCCAATACGATACTAAATATTTTTTACAATTGCGCATACCATTGTTAATTCTTACTTAAATTACCATTTTTCAAAATATTACCATTTTATTGTCCCCATACCACACCAAAATCCCACATTTTTCGAATTTTCACCCACTATTTCGCCCGTCCGAACCCCACCAAATTTTGATGTGTGTATCAGAATGTATACGTATGTAAACGTCTACTATATTCGTTGGTTTCTCTTCTCTGTACCTAGTATGCCATGAGAACTTTGCTTCGAAGCCGAGATCCGATTTCGCGTGTTTTTGGTATTTATTTTTGGACATGGATGCTTTTGACATTCTCTTTCACTTTTTTATACATTTCAGTACGTTGCGTACAACCATGAAATTATGCGTTTTGGTTTTTTGTCTGATTTTTTACTATGGTAGATTATGTTACCCTGTCTTATTTTACTTTGCTCTATTTTACCTTACCCTGTTTTGCCCAACCCTACCTTACGTTTTTTACTGTGGTAGGCTATGTTATTCTACCCTACCCTAATCTACCCTACCCTACCCTACCGTCCCATACCCTACCTTACCGTTACCCTAGGGGTCAGAAACGGGTCGGTCCCAGTTTCGAGGCAAGGTCCAGGCTCAAGGCCAAACGTTTAAAACCGTTTCTTTAAAATTATAGTTCAAAGCCGGCGCAGCTCGAAATACGGTCGTGCCTTACCATAACTTACTCCCCCAAATAACATTATTTAAAACCTCCCTCCTCCACCTGCCGTACTCTATATCAAAAAATCGCTTTAACCATACACTTTTCTTGACGTCAACCTCATTTGCCTCAGATTGTACTACCTATAGCGCCTTATACCCTATACCGCCAGACCAAGAAAAACCAATAAAAATGTTTTTATCGAATCAAATAATCCCCCTGCTCCAACTACATCATATTACCCATCAACACCAGCCCATCCATAAGTAGTAACTTGACTGTGCATAAAATTTTTAATTGGGCCCAATTCCCATCGTCTCACTTTTCCCGGCTCCTAATTACTTTCCTGGCCAAGAATTTGTCCAAAAACGGATTATTAAGCCCATTTTTTGTTGTTATTTTCACAGTTTCACACGGTCATAATTACATCGTTGTTGTTCGAGTAAATATAGTTCATGTTATTTTAGAGGTTGGCGTGTTAAAACGTAGTATTATAGGATTTGAGGGGGTGAGACATGGGGTTAAAAATTTGTTTTTAGGGGTTGAATAAGCTTTTGTAATGTAAAATACGCTGGATCATAGATAGTACATCCAATAATGGTACTGTTATAGCTTAAAGCAAAACGTCTTTGGTATGACCCTCGATAGTATGACATCCTCTTTATAATGACAGCTTCTTGAACACCTTTTGTAATAGAACTCCTATCAAAAAGTACCTGGGTAGTGTGACACCCTGGTTATAAAGACAAGGTTGGACCAGTCTCTTGAGTGGCATACTAAAGAGGTTTGACACGGTACCTGCCAATCAAAGGAATTTTTTTACCTCCCTCTCCCCTAGAAAAAATCTGTAGCGATGTTTCTGGTTTGACTGTATATCCAAATCTAGACGTTAGAAAGAGAAATATAGAATAAAGGGAGGGGGATGGGTGGGCCCCGCCAAAACTTTTTTTTTCAAATTTTGAACACGATAAAAAGTCCACTACCAGTCTCACCAAAATTTCCAGAATAACCACCAGCTCAGACTGATAATAAATTTCAAAAATAACCTGCCCAGACCTCTACTCTTACATTCTTAGCCAGGCCTTTTAAAAACGTGTTAATAACCGTGTCATACGTGCCAAACCATATTTTTTTCAAAAAAGAAATTTCAAAATCCATTTTTAGGGTTAGACACCCAAGCTCAAGCCCCATTCCAGCTCAAGACCTACATTCAAGTATACACAAACCGCCAGACCAAGAGCTATAATATTAACATTGAAAGCGCCTCTACGTGCTGTTTTTCAACTATTCGTACCTATATTCTGCTACTTCCATAGTACCTATTCGGCTAACACATAGTAGCTGAAGAAAGAATCCAAACAGCAACACCAAAAAGTGCCAAAAACCTCGAATTTTGCCAAAATTTCTTTGTCGCGATAACAAAGCAAAAGTTTTTACACTTTTCTAATCTCATTTCGTCCGCCCAAAAATATTCGTGGCGCCCAATCTGAAACCCAAATTAAATATTTGACGAAACTCGGTCAAAAAGCCCAAGCTATTTTTGTCGCCAGAACATGGACCGCCGAGAATGTAGCGACACAAACGTGGTAAGTGGGTTTGGAAAGTGTAATATATTATTACATAGAGTAATATATGTAATTTATTGTTACTTAGAGTAATATGAGAGTAGTAAGTTATTATAGAACATAATCTAGTAGTAATGGATCAGTACTAGCCATTATATAGTGATCTTGTAATAAAGCGGGGTAAACATTTTTTTAATTCTATGCGGAGTGAGGAACTTTTTCAAACGGCAAGGTATAGTAAAAAATGAGATAGACTGTACGGAACTGGAATGATACAGTAAGGTACAGTAGAGTGTAGTAAGGTAGGGCTGAACAGTACAGAGCAGATAAAGATAGGGTAGGTTACGAAAAGGGTAGATAAAAAAAAGTAGAGTAGGGTGAAGTAAGGCAGGGAGGACAGATCAGGGCACGGTAAAACAAGGTAGGACAAAGCAAGGCCGGGCTGTGTAGGAACGATCATAGTAAAATAACATAGGTAAGGTAGGGTAAGATATAGAAAGGCAGGAAAAAACACAGCAAGGCTGTGCAGGGAAGAACACGATAGGGTAGCGTAGGGTATGGTATGGAAAAGTAGGGTAAGATAGGATAGAGTAGTATAGAATAAAGTAAGGTAGGGTAAAACAAAGAAAAAAAAATTAAATTTGAAACACCCCCACCGTTAAAGCAGTATAATATTGCGTGTGATTGATGTGAATGGTGTTTACATCATGTGCACTTTCATTCTCAAAATTTTTTTTCCAGAATTGGCTTTGAAAATATTTGCCAATAATTTCCATGACATTTTACTCGTGAAACGGTCCTAATTAGGCATAAAACATTTCGAACAAAATTCCGGTCGTATTATGGCATTCGCTCATTCTCGATACTCACGCAATTTTAAAATCTTTTGACCGTTTTAGATGTTAGAGTAGTGTAAACTAGCAGGTTATAGTAGTGAAAAGCCTTTGTAGTAATACTTAGCTTAGTGAATTTAACATAAATTGTACGCCTTTACCTAAGAGCATAGGATATAGTGAAGTCATTTACCTAATTCAACTAATCCACCCCTATTTCCAGTAAAATTGGACACCACAACCCCGTCCAATTACACCCACAGTAACAAACTCAGTTCTCCAAAGACGCAGGACGTCGCTAGCCGCTAATGGATGGACTGGCAGACGATAGCCACGTCGTCTTCAATGAGACGACATCGTACGAAACGGGTCCCTCAACCTCAGGAATCAACCCCCAACTACAATACATGTTCGGCGGATACTGTGGCGGGAAGTTACCGTACGACAACCACGGTCAAGAGCTACCATTCGATAATGAATTCGAGCTACCAGCCTGTAGTAAACCCAAGCTGCCACCCTGTAGTAACCGCGAAATACCACTCAGAAGTCAATCCCAAAGCCAACAATATTGTAAGGAAAATTACAGTACGACACTACAGTATACCCTGCTCACTGAAATGGATCATGTTCATGTTGTTCTTCCTTTTGATGGTCGGCGACGTGGACGCACGGTAAGGCCTTATTTTTTAGTGGAAAGAAAGTTTCTGTATGTGATTTCCAGCTTCATTCAATAAAAACTTTTGTAAAGGAAATTTCTTCATAAAATCATATTTAAAAAATTTCAGAAAAGCCTTTTACCGTCGCAACTCCCGCCACCTACGACGCCTCTCACGCTTATACGACTGGGAAGTGGATGATCACGGCACGTTCCGGCCGGTCATCGACGAGAAACGGGTGGAACGTTCAGTCCAAAGTCGTTCCGATCATTGTGCCAATGATTCGTTTATTTTGGAGACAATCCTACACAAATACAACCCTCACAAGATCCCCGGAGGCAAAGTGGCAGTCACGGTAGAGGTTTGGGTTCAGGAGATTACTACCATCAGCGACATTACTTCGGACTTTCAGGTGGGTTTAAAGTAGGGTAACGTTTGACAAGGATTCAGATAAAAGTAAGGGAGGTAACTTTGAGGTAAAGCCAAGGTAAAGTAAGTTAGAGCAAAGTAAAGCAGATTTTGTAATGTCAAGTCTAAGATAAAGTAAAGTAGAGTAATATAAACGAGGAAAAACTATTACATGTCACAATAGAGTAACCTACTACCTACTACCTTAAACTACAATCTCCAAATTTCAGCTAGACATCTATATCAGTGAAATGTGGAACGACCCCTCATTAGACTACTCCTGGATGGAGCCTTGTAAACATAATCTGTCGTTAAACAGTGTTCTACTGGAGAAGTTATGGACTCCAAACTCATGTTTCATCAATTCGAAAACTGCCGACATTCATCGAAGTCCCTTCCCCAACATATTCTTACTCATCTATGCTAACGGTTCTGGTAAGTTTGTTTGTTTTTTTTCGTATTTTACAATTATTTCAAGCATTTTACAACCACTTCAAGGTTTTCAAAATTATTTCAAAAAATTCTGTGCCCCATCCAAATTTTAGGAGTTATGGGGCACAGAATTATTTGAACAACCTAACACTTAAAAAATAGATAAAATGCCATAAAAATTTTTAATTTTTCAAAAAAAAAGATTTTAATCGCTCCATATGACATTTAATCAAGTCATACGACAATGACATCAGTTGTCGCATCAATTGAATTCACCTCCCTTCAAACCCGAATTCAAAACCGCTTCCGGGTAAAAGTTCAGCGCCAGATTTAATAAACTTTCCGCATCACAAAAACATTTCACATCATATTTTTGACGACAACCGAATGTCACAATCAAATTTCCGCCTGAAAATGAGGAAACGAACGAGGCCAACGCTTTTCGCGGCCATATGCGCTGGGGTTTATCAGTGAAAAAAAATTGGGAACGTATAAAAAAAACCATTTTGAAATATGACATTTTATAATTATGTCTTCAAAAATATGATATTTTACTGTGCATTGGCCAGAAAGTGAATAGAAAAGCCTTTAACTATATCTTCCCAAAAAATGTTGAAAAATCGGCGTTTTCCTCAATTTTTTAAGCAGTATATAGACTTTAAAGCTTTGCCATGCCTAAACTATATTTCCAAACCATGCCAACATTAACCTACATATAGCCTATACAATGAGTAACATTTTTTCTCTTGACAACTTTTTGGTAGCATTATTGTAATGTATGAAATCTTCTATGTCTTAAACTTGTGAAAACGCAAAAAATTTTTTTTTAAATGGTTACTGTTAAAAATGACAAAGAATTTAAAATGTAAAATACGGCTCCATGAACAAAAAGTAAAAAATTGATAAATTATATCTTTCAGTATGGACAAACTATCGCCTGAAGCTTCAAGGCCCGTGCAGTATGGATCTAACACGATTTCCGTTCGACAATGTCACGTGCACTTTAACGTTTGAGAGTTTCAAGTGAGTGTAAAAGTACTTTTACTACATATAAAAAAGAAAAACAACATTTTTAATTTGTAAAATTTCTCAGACTTTTTGCACTGTTAGATAACAAAAGAAAAAATGGCAAGAACTTCCTTTACAAAACATATAATGGCAAAAAACTTTCTTTACAAAAAATAAAATGGCAAAACCTTTCTTTGCAACGTATCAAATGGCAAGAACTTTCTTTACACAACATCAAATGGCAATAACTTTCTTTCCAAAACATCAAATAGCAAAAAATTTCTTTACAAAACAAAAAATGGCAAGAATTTTCTTTACAAAACATCAAATTGCAAGAACTTTCTTTAAAAAACGTAAAATGGCAAGAACTTTCTTTACAAATTTTAAAAAAAATAATTTTTTTCGGCCCCGTCTAGCTTTTTTTCTTTGCGGAAGCCTAGTAGGCCCCTTTCTAAAGGTTTTAAAAATGATAAAGTAATGGCTTAACAAAATCATACCCAACGTTCTTTCACACCAAAGTCTCAATTTACAAACCAAAGTACCAATGATATCCTCCACTTTCAGCTACAACATAGCCGAAGTGGAGATGACATGGTCATCATTGGGTGTTGCACGGATGCGAGAAAAGATGGAACTGGCTGATTATGAATTGGATCGTATCGACAACGTTCGCCACGAAGTACCGTATCCCGCGGGACAATGGCACGAGTTAACGATGATGTTTCACTTTAAACGCCGAGCCGGATGGTATATTCTACAAGCTTATCTCCCCACCTACCTCACTATTTTTATCTGTAAGTTTTTGACGATAGTTTTAAGCAGTAAGTTATGTTAATGTAGTGAATTGGGACGAAAAAATGACATTTTATATGATGAAAAGTGTATTTTTTCAAATAATTCTGTGCCCCTCCTCAAACCAAAATTTCTGGGTTAGGGGGCACGAAATTGTATAAACGACCTAACATAACTTTGATGACTTCACTTTTTCAGCATGGATCTCATTTGTACTGGGTACTAATGCCATTCCGGCTCGAACTATGTTAGGTGTTAACTCTTTGCTAGGTAAGCCTTTACTAGTTAGAATTCAAGGTATAAATAGCAACAACGTGTTTTACATTATTTTTGAAAATTTTCAAACCTCGATTGTAAAACCTTGCAGCTATGACTTTCCAATTTGGTAATATCATTCGAAATCTGCCTCGTGTCAGTTACGTTAAAGCCATTGACATCTGGCTGTTATCATGCATGACATTTGTATTCTGCTCGCTATTAGAACTAGCCTGGGTTGGATACTTGAGTCGACAAGATTCGGAATCGACAGCAAATACCGTGAAACCGACGAATCAGTCATTGGATGCTGTGCCATCGCAACATACGATCACTATCAAACCTATCAAGTCGCCCTCACCTCTACCGCCGCATCATATCGAACCTCCACAATACACAGCGAACGACACCAATCAGGGATTCTTGCAACGGTATTTTTGGCATTTTTTACTTAAGTTTATTAAGTTGTTCAAATAATTCTGTGCCACTCTCAAAGAAAATTTTCGGGGTTAAAAGGCACAGAATTATTTGAACAACCTACTAAAAATTCTTTACCATACCTTATCCTACACTGCCATACCCGACTCTGCCCTACCCATGTCCTACCCTACCTTACTCTGTCCTACCTTACCGTACCGTGCCTACCATACCTTACACTAAACTACCCAACCCTATCCTACCCTACTTATTATAAATTATGAGCTTTTCAGCCGCCTAACATCCCGCTCCAAGGAAACCGAAGAAGAACAACAGAAGCTGCTCAACAACTCCAACGACTATGGCTACATTCCTCCAGGATACGGACTCAACGGCAACCTCAAATCAGCAATGTCAGCCATTGCCGGTCCTTGTGCCTGCCACAATCCAGGTACCCAGTTCCCGACCTCTCTTGAACAACGTGTTATGAATGCATACGGTGAGGGTCAGCTGCGACAAGATGGACTGATGAATACGTCAATGTTCAGCGAAGACCCCGCCCTACCACCCATCAGTGTACCTAGTGCACAACGAGTACGAAACGACCATTTGGCGTTGAAAATCGACAAGTACTCGTCGATGCTGTTCCCTGCACTATTCGCCATGTTCAACGTGTTCTACTGGTACCACTACTTGGTCGAGTGAGTGATATCGTATTGAAACTGTCATACTGTATCACAGGGGATATGTGCATGACATTTTTAGAAGTTGTTATATTTTTTAAAGATATATTAGGTTGTATAAAAATTAATGAGCTACTGAACTAATATAAACAAAAGGTCAATTATATAACTACTAAAAATGTCATAAACATACAATACCACTAATTGTATATTAACACTTGAGTGAGGTGAATAACAACTTATAACGGTTTGATATTTGACTTTGTTCAGTGTAATTTACGACTAATATTGTGAAGTTTTTGTATGGTGATTTTGCCGTGATCAAGCTTTGTCAATATGCTAAGATTAAACCAGTCCACCTAATATTATAGTACCTAGTTCACTGATGAAAAAAATAATTTTTGGGTAGGTACCAGTATTCTTCATACCCTTCAATTCATTTTTCAACATGATAATGCTCAAGATATATGAAAATCTTACTTTACTTTACATAACTTTTAGTTGTGTAACTGTTTACTACAATAAGTACTTACAGTGGAACTCCTGTACAACGAATCGCTCGGGAATTGGAAATTTGTTCGTTATAAAGGAGTTTCGTTAAACAGGAGTTTTAAACGCACTGTGTAGTGATAGACGGGGATTCAAAAGTTGTTCGTTATACGGGAGTTCCACTGTATAACCACCATCACGTTTGCTTTTTCTACTTTACAAGCACGATATTTACACAAACAGCTGTTTCTAATGCCACTTTTCAATACACACAATAATTTTCCACTCGCTGCAATAACCACCCCTAGGCTTTAAATATTGAACTTTAAGCCAATACCAATTTAAAAATTTACATTTGCACCCCCTAACAAAAAATTTAAATTTAAATTTGCACCCCTAATAAAATTAAAATTTGAGTTCACACCCCCCTAATAAGGTATCTTACGTTACACCTTCTGACCTAAGATTTTATGTTTAACTGACTACGTGTAACAACGTTGACCACTTTCAGACCGTGCGCGGCCGCCGAGAACGCTCTGAAATCGTTCTTGAGGATCTGCACCTACTAACCAATACACCAATGTCATCGTGACATATGTTTAGTTACTAGCTATTTTAAAACCAATGTCATCATGACCTATTTTTAGTTTCTAGCGATGTTGAAAATAACGTCATCGTGACATGTTTTTAGTTTTAAATTAGTCATCACAGTTGTTCATTTTGACATAACTGTCACTTTGGTTTTGAGTCCAAGTGGCATTTATATTATAGTCATAATGACACTTTAATTAAAGTCTTCATGACAGTCATAATGACAATTTAACTAAAGACATCATGACGGTCATAATGACACATTTAGGCCTTTCGCTTCCGCTCTATCCTTCTGTTTTCTATACTTTGCTTGTGCGAAAAGTTTTGGGACGTATTTAAAAATCAAGTTTCAGATACTTTTTAGTACTATTTCTAATTAGTACTAGTTCATACTCAAAAAATTTAGCACCCAAAACTTTTGCCATGCCCTATTTTAAACTTTCGCTTTATTTTTTCCCAATTTCGATTGATAATCCGTTACTTCGCTCAATTTTTTATTTGTCACCAAAGTTTTATTTTTAATGGTTATTTCCGACTTCTACTACTAACTAATCTCATTGTAAATTGCCTATATGATTGTTGAATAAAGATTCATTTGTTTTATAATTTTGTTCTGATAACATTTTGAATTTGAATTTATACCCGGTATAATAATAACAACATCAAGTAACTAATAATATAAGGGACGAGCTAAATACATAGGATGGAAAATATCAGACAAAAAATGCGATTTCTTGTCTGATATTTTCGTCTCTCATTTTCCCGCTATCTTTTTTCCTCTCGTTGCCGAGGGCAGTTAGAGAAAAAAAAGATCGTTGAAAAAAATATCAGACAAGGAATTGCATTTTTTGTCTGATACTTTCCATCCGATGTATTTAGCTCGTCCCTTATATGGTAATATCAAGTTGCAATAACATTTTGATATTTACACCCAATACTATGTTAACATACACCAAAAACTATTATATTAGGGATAAAAACGGCCGGGCTCACTTTTGAGGCCCAGGGCCTAACGTTTAGGCCCGGTTCGTTTTCATTTTCTCCGGCTCGCACAGCTCGGTCAAAAAAATTCTAGACCCGCCTAGCTCCGCCCGTTTAAACGTCAGCTCAAGGCCAGCCCGTTTCGATTGTAAGGCCGGACCGAGCCTAAATGGCCCGTTTTTCTCCCCTAAACACTACTTTTACTAAATTACAGTGTAGAAGTAAATTAACATTTTACTATACCTTTAGTTCAACGTACCACCTAAAGTGGCAATGGTCTAAATACTGGTTTTGTAGGCCCGTTTTTCGTATTTTACATTCAAAATTCCCACTATCAAAAATTTTTTTAATTTTTAAAAACTGAATTCAAAAAACCGTATTTTTAGAAAAAAACTGGTTTTTACATCAAAAATTGCCAGTATGTTCACCATAGCCAAATCAAAATCAGAAAAAGAATTTTAAAATCAAGTTTCCTATCAATTTTATAAAAGTTCATATCAAAAAAAATTAAAAATATTGTTTTAGCAAAGCATAACCCACCTTAATGGCCAATTCCATGTTTTGTAAAGGTAACGTGGCCATGGGAACAAGTCGATCAGGATATTTTTGACACTGGGCAGTGATGTCATCATTCAGGAATCGAGCTACAATCTCATTGTCTTCTGGTTTCGCCTAAACTTTTTTTTAATTTTAAGGAAATACAGTATTTCGTGACTAATTTTAATAAAAGAATCACTAATTGGTGGATTCGTATTTTACAAAACGTCCGAAGTGATAAAGGTTGTTATAACTCGCAGCAATAATAAAACTAAATTTTTTTGAATTTTTTAAAAGTAAAAATTCCCTAAAGCACCAAGTTTCACAATCTAAATAAGTTTAAAAATGTCCATACCCAGTAGTTGAACATGACAGGAACGGTAGAAATGGCTTGCACGTTCACATGGCATTTGTCCATCTCTCGAACACGTTCATCAACATCATAGCAATTTTTGGTCACTACACGAAACAATTTACCATCTTTGATCATATTCGCCTTGCCATCAGAATCCCCCGTCTTCTGAAGCGTCAGAAAGCCAGGGTAGCCAAATTGCTAGAATAAGATATTAAAAAGATAAGTAAAATTGACGAAAATAAACTATTTTTCTTAAATTTACTTTACTTGTTAGCTTTCTTAAAGTTTTTCTGATATTTTAGATATTTTACCCCAACCTATCTTGCTTCATCCTCGCCTATCAACAATCCGCATTTTACCATCATTTTCAATCTTTAAACACTTACTTTTTGAAAATCCGGAATCTCATTAGGCAAAACATGAGCATGGACATCAATTTTTCGATCGGCAGTAGCTAAAACACAAAATACCTCAGTTTAGGTAACAAATATAGGTCTTACCAGCAAAAAACATTATAACACAGCCTTCAGTAGTCTAATCTTTTATTTACCAACAAAAACGACTGGAAATAAATATCAGATTGATTGCGATTGCTCTTTCATCAACAAACGAATTTTTATTTATGGTTTACAACAAGACTGATTATAATCAACTATGATAATATTACATTACATAACTGATCTTTATCAAAAAATTTAAAAAATAAGCTAATAAAATTGGTAAAATTTTTTATCTACAATTTTATTTTTTAATAGTGTAATTTTTAAATTACAGTACATATTCAATTTACATCTTACAGTTTGTTTGGTCCCAACACGAAAACAAGTTCCGCAAATGTAAAATATTATTTTGCTAATTTTTGACGTGTCTCTTTTAATAGTTCCCTTCACAATTACGGCCAAACGTATTTCGATCCTTCATTTATTGTTATTTCTCTTCATATATTATTGTAAAACCTTATTTTATTTATTAAAACATTAATATATTGCTATTTTTCAGGAAAATGAGGGTTTTCCTCGCCGTTTTGGCATTGATTTGCCTTGCTCTGCCTCAAATCGCGGCTCAAGCCAAAACCCTGGAAGACAAGGTGAAGCTCCTTCAGGATTCTTTGATGAAGAGGCCTTTCATCAATCTGAATCAGGAGAAATGGCGTTCTTTAGTGCGAACACAGCCAAGAAATTACAGTATGATTGTGATGTTCACTGCCTTGGGTGCGGATTTCCAATGTACCATCTGTAAACCGGCTCATGAAGAGTTTTCGATTGTCGCCAACTCTTACAGATACGCTTATCTACATTCTAAGAACTTGTACTTTGCTGTTGTCGATTATGCCGACAATCCACAGGCTTTCCAGCAGGTAAGGGCGATTTTATTAGTTATTTCGAATTTTAGGTATAGCTTTGTGGGAAAGAGAAGAGAATTTTCGAAACTTTGCATAGCTTTCATGCTTATAATGTTACAGCTACTAGTTAAACAGTTTTTGAAACATTGATTTTGGCTTTAGTTACGGTTTATTTTAGGTAACTATATAAAACTATTTACCTGGTTTTACTTATAACTTTTTGATAAGTAAGAATAGATTTATAGAATTTTGCGTACAATTAAAATAATCTTTTTTTAAAGCTGTTGTTCACATTTCAATCGTTATATTATTGTTTTAGTTCTGTTATATTAATTCAGAGACAGATAAGTCAGTATAATATTCTTAGTTTTCTCTTTTCGTAATATTTTGCTTTTTAATATGAATATTTTGTTTAATTTTTGTATATTTAGTTGAACTTGAACACCGCTCCAGTGATTTACTACTTCCCAGCGAGATCTACTAGCAAGAAGTTGGATCAGATGGACTTCCAACGTAGCGGATTTGGTGCTGAAGCTATTGCTAAGTTTATTCAAGAGCGCACTGATGTTAACGTAAGGTTTTTGTGTTTTCTTGACTTTTAAGAACGGCAAATGGTTTATATTAAAGTATTTTAAAGGTCTTTGGCAGAAGGAGGTCTACTTCTTTGACCTGCCAATCTTTTTTGCATAGTTTTTGAAATTATGCAGTTTGAAATATTGTTTTCAGATTAGAGTAATGCGTCCACCTAACTACGCTGGACCAATTGTTATTGTTTTATTGGTCATGTTGATTGTCGGTATGTTGTACATGCGCAGAGACAGTATGGACTTTATGTACTCTCCTAACTTCTGGGGATTTGTCTGTGTGGTAAGTTAATGGTTTTAAGTAGCATTGGTATCTAAACTACTAAAAAACTATTATTATAGCATAAATTAAATTGTTCTAGGTCTTCGTCTTGGCTTTCCAATCAGGCCAAATGTGGAATCACATCAGATCGCCGCCATTCTTGATGAACAATCCTCAAACTCGACAAACCTCCTTCATTCATGGCTCAACTCAATATCAGTTGATTGCCGAGACTTACATTGTTTTTGCCTTATACGGTTTGATTTCTTTGGGTATGATCTTCTTGAACGAAAGCACATCAGGAAAGTTGGCTGATCAGCCCGGAAAGCGACGATGTAAGTTTATTTTTGTATTTGAAAGGGTATTATAAGGTAAAATATGATTTTTTCTGCCATTTTTGAAGTGTTAATTATCTTTTTGAAATGATATTCTAAGTCATGGAATAGTAGTTTCACCGTGTTTTACCTAAATTTTCAGTCTTCTGCTACGCGGGCATCGGCTTGGTGGTGATATTCTTCAGCTTGTTGCTCTCCGTTTTCCGCAGCAAATACCAAGGATATCCATATCACTTCCTCTTCAATTAGACGACGAGATTGAGATTGTTAAGGTTCTAGTCTTGCCCTAAACTTTGTGACATTACTAGTAACAAAGAAATGGTTTGTAATAGTAATAGCTATTTATTCATATTTAATAAATTTTGATTTATTATGGTGATATATTGTTTTAGTAATGTAAATTTTAGTTGTGTAGGCTCGGTTTTTTATGTTTAAACAACAAAAATTTATATTATGTTAGATTGATAATGTGATTTAGTAGTAAGAGGTTGTTTACAACGTCAAACTGACTAATTGGTTGTATTTTTTAAACTCCCAATTAACCACCACTCAAATTGAACCCTGTCGCAAAGAAAAAAAAGCCCGCAGGCGAAGAATTCCTTACATCTTGAGAGTCAAGATCAGAGCAGTAGTGTGTTCGCGCAAAAGTTTTGTTTTGTTATACCATGAACTCTTCCATTTTTTCATTGTTTTGCGGTCAAGAAGCGTTTCTATTGTTCCCTGACCGTTCGTGTAGTTATGAACAAAGTCTGGATTCTTGAGCAAACTTGTACTTGAAGACTTGTCCTTGAAGCTTGGCTTATGTTGTACGCAAAAAAGTATTTTTAGAGGAGATTTAATTAGTGGTACAACGTTTTTTGGGGAAAATTGAGGTTTAGGTAACAAGTCAGGTAAGTGAATTCTAAAGCAGACCTTTATTAAGCCGTCAGACGTTAATTGTTAAATAACACCAATTTTGTCACCATAAAATACGACAAGTTCACTTCTCAACGCGATCATTTGGGCTCTTCTCCATTGCACCGTGCACATTTTTAAAAAGATTTTTTAACGTAAAAGGCGAATGTAAATATTAACTTTTCAGCCTATATACCCATAATAAACAACTAAAAGACTTCATAAATATTTTTTTCACATTCTTCCTTGTTTTCACGCAAAACTTAATTTTAAATTCAGAATCTATAACAATATCATAATAAGGTAAACAAGACGCGGAATATCAGCCGAATCTCCGGTGAAATCTCGTTTACAGCATCTCGTATGTCTTCCTTCCAATATCTAATGGTAAATTAATCACAACTCTTTCAATGAAAAACAATATTCGTTTTTTGAGGCGAAAGAAAAAGAAAAAAAACGGCATTTTTTCTCGTTTTTCCACTTTTTTTGGAGATTCCGTGCCTGTTTTGGAGCCGGCTTTGTTTCGTTTTTAGATTAGCTGTGGGTGTTATTGTAGGATATTAAAGAGTAATATTGTTATGGTAACCTTTTTGTAGTTTTAGTTGAAAAATGAATAGGGTCTTGGACATTTTTTGATGGGTACCTTGAAGGAAATTGTACGTATTTGGCAAAGGATTTACAAAATTAATGCCATTTTTGGTTTTATAGCTCTGAAGACCTTGAAATTTAATTTGATAGAGCTTGCTAAACCTTCCGGGCCTTGCTTCTTATCTTTGACTTCAATTTATAAAACTTAACCATCGAAATTTTAGGTATCAAGCCTCAATGTCGACACGAGTTCACAGTTTATTTGGAAAGCTCAAAGGTAAAGGTAAGCCATCACTATATTAAAGTTTCTTTTAAAGTTTAGGTATCAAATTGCAACGAAATCAGTCTGAACCACATTCTTTTTACCGAAAAACAATTTTGTTACCTAAAATATTTCTTTCAGGTTTATTTAAGAAGAAAGACTCGAAGTCAGAGCCAGAAGAGGTTGATGAAGATGTGGCGAGTTCATCAGTGTTCCAAGCCAATTCTATTGATGCTCCAACCGTCATCAGAAGTTTCGAAGAGTTGTTTTCGGAATTATCAGCTATGACATACTTTATGAGGTATCTGGAGAGGAATGGAGCTTCAAATTTACTCAAGTTTTGGATTCATATTGAGGGATTTCAAAGTGCTGGGGATAATCAAGGTAAATTTTGGTTTTACTTTTATTTTTGTGGTTTAGGTATGGAGTTTTAATGATGTACATGTAAAGAAAGGTTCTTTTTGGTGCTTAAAATAATAAAACTTGTTTTAGACATTGAAAAGGAAGCTCGTCAGATATGGAACACCTATTTATCGCCATCAGCCTTTCAAAGGATCAACCTTCCTACTGCTGTAGTTAAATCTATAGGTGAGTATACCTATAAGACCTTTAGGAAACTTTTTTTTAATTGGTGTATGAATTAACAACGAGTGAAAAAAGCATATAAGGGACATAAAGAAAGAAATATATAAGTGACATAATTTTAGACTTTGAAACCTTGAACAAAGTGGATTGTTACTCAAAAGCCCAAAGTTATGTATGGGATCAGCTGAAGAACGTTCATTTTAAAGGCTTCATGAAGAGTCCTTACTTCATCATGCACCAAGTTGAATGTTTCAAAACTGGCTGTCTTGAACTCGTCGACATTCTCAGCGATCATCGACTTCTTAGCCCGTTTGTTGAGGTAAAATACGGCTTTTTTCTCTATTTTCGTCGAGAATTGTTCTAAAAAGTTGAAAGAAGATACTAAAACTAGGGTTTATAAGCTTAAAATTGTGTTTTTTCTCAACTTCTAAACTTGATTTATATTTACTGATAAGAATTTATAGCCTAAAGCTTTAGTATAAGATATATTTACTTCACAATAGTCAAAAGTATTGTTATCAATGTAGTGATCACGTTCATTTTCAGTTCCTTGAATCCCAGCACCGCCAGAACTTGATAGAATTCATTCTGACAGTAGAATCATACGAAGAACAGATAGTAAATTGTTCTCCAGAAGAGAAACAAGAAGCCGCGATGATAATATACAACAAGTACATATCGATGCAAGCGACAGATCCATTAGAGTTTGACAGTGCGATCAGAACCGATGTGGAGAGTAAAATATGCACAGAGAATGGCATTCCTCAAGGCGCAGTTTTTAATAAGGCTAAATATGCTTCACAGGCTGTGCTTGAAACGGTATGTGGGTTTTTCAAAGTTTTTGGGTTTTGAGCGTGGTAAATTTAATTTTTTAAGTGGTGTTTCTTGAATTTTTTCGAAATTTTTTATTTTTAAAATTTAACTTTACATTTTTAAAAAATAGTGTAATATAGCAGGTTTTTATGTTAATGTCAATTTTAAAAAGCTTTTGTTTTTAGCACTACATTCCAATGTTTATGAAGACTGATCTCTACCGAAGCTATGTTGATATGTTGGCAAAATCCGTTCAGAGGTTTGTACAAATGGAAGATGACAGGAGTATACACAACAATGAGCTGAGGATGAAGAGAAGTGAGATTCGGAAAAATTTTTATTTTATCTTTTTAAATTTTTTATGTTAGACTAGTTAAAAAAGTTAATTTAAAGTATATTGGCATAGTTGTGTAAAAAAAGTATTTAGAAGCCGTATCTAAAAATGTTTTTTGTTCATTACAAGACTTAAAACTTCATTTTCAGCTTCACTACCAGCCGAACCTACTTTTAAACCTATCGATTCAAACATAAACAACAATAAAAGTAACAATTGTAAAGGCTTGTTAACAACACAGTTATCAACAAACTCAACCCCAGTCAAAAGAGAGTATAATCACTACAAGGACAGATCAATCAGTACCTCATCGACAGTCGGCGACGACGAAAGCAGCTCTCAATGTAGCGATGCTTCTGTTTCAAAGCGATTACCTAGCGCTTTGGGCCGGATTGACATTTTAGGAAGATACGAAAGCCTGTTCGACACATCACTATATCATAATGAAGAAACACCAAAGTCTGGCTTCAGAGGAGTGTTAAACAAGTATCTAAAGCAGTCAATGGCACAAGAAGACGAAAAGTCATACGAAATGGCTAGGTTGATAGTAGAAGACATTCAGAATATGGTGATTAATCATGAAAATGAACGGTCGTTACCTGCTACTCCTAGGAAGACGAAAGCTGAAGCTTAGATGAGGGTTTGATTTATTAGGTCTATAATATTAGGTTGTTCAAATAATTTTGTTCTTCAAATCAAATTTTTGGGGTTAGAGACACATAATTATGTGAACAACCTAATGATATTGGCATAGGTTGCTCTTCAGTCATGTTTTGATATTACGTTGTTTAAGCTTGATTACTGTTTATGTTTACCGCTCTACAGGCTTGACTAATGTCTTACTGTTTTTTTGTCAATTTTTAAAATTTAACAATTTGAGGTAGTGTTTATAGTAAAAACTTAGTTTACAGTAATTTTGTAAGGATAGATCTTTATAAAATGAGTCTTTCAGGTAACTATACACCTTTTTGATTTAAATTTCATATCTTTTTTACATTTTGTAAATGTTTTTATAACTTTTTTTTGAATGGTTGTGCTACAATATGGTAAGCTAGACAAGGTGCATTTTCTATAGTACGGTTTTTAGCTAGATTTTCTTAAACAAAAAAATTTTAAGGTTTCAAACTAGATAGTATAATTTGAAGCTTTTGAAATAGATATTCGCATAGCATAATATATTGTTTATGATCGGGGTGATTTTGATTTGATACGAGTAGTAAAATGGTATTATATTGTTGTATGATATATTGATTTAAATGTTGTATTTTCAGTTAAATAAAGCATAATTTATAAGCCTTTTTGTGTAGAATACTTGAATATGTTTATATTCTGCTACTATTTGGTATACTTTGTAATTTTAAAAGTCTTTATGAAAAGCTTGATTTTAATTTGTTTTGAAAATGGTAATATTCTAGACCTGAATAATGAAGTCCTTAATGTTTTTGCGATTTTTTAAAGAAACTAAACATAAATTTACACTGCTTTTTGTAAAATACGGTCGATTCTTTCTTTAATGCAAATTATTATTGATTTTTCTCAGAATTTGTCAAAATTTTAGTTTTATCTTTTTTTAAAGCTCAATAGTTTCTCAGAGATAACACGCTTTTATAAAATACAGTCAAGCCTCTTTAGTATGACGCTCAAGAGACTGAGCTAAAGCTGTTCTTATAATCAGAGTGTCACACTACGCAGGTACTTTTTTATAGGGTTTCTGTTACAAAGGGCGGTCAAGAAGCTGTCATTATAAAGGGGGTGTCATACTATCGAGGGTCATACTAAACAGGTTTCACTGTGCTCAGCGTTACAATTGTAAAAGATTGCACAGTGTAATCGATGTCGTTTGATTTGCTGCATCGTCCCGTCCTAATATTAATTTTTGGTAAAATACGAGACGCGATTTTTTCTTAAACTTATTAAAGTCAAAAATACTCTTATCATAACAAAAGTTTATTTTAATTCTGTACAGTTAAAGCCATTCTACTTGATGAAAGTCGGTGGCGGTTTGGCTAGCGTTTTCTTGAGGTGGGATCAGGTTGGTGCGAACATCCGGCGGTTTTAGTATGGACGTGTGTTGCACTAAGGGTGACGAATCCGTCGTGGGAAGGGTGTTCATGGAGGATAAGGGGCTACCCAGTTTTGTTTGCATTGGCATTGTGTACTCACTGAAAAAGAATGGCATGGTTAATTTATACGGGTTTGGGGATGGTTTTTGGTTTTGACGTTAAGGTAGGAAGGAATGTTTAATAATATGGCAGGACACGGTAATATGTGTCGGGTAGAGTGAAAATAAAGTAAGGTATAGTAGGACAGTGTAGAGTAGGGTAGGATAGGGTAGGGTAGGGCAGATTAAAACAAAATAGGTAAGTCGAAACTACAGTATGAAATCCTCTACTTACTCCGTACTAACCGGTCCAACATAAACATCATTCACAAACATTCCACAGTCTGGTGCTGTTTTACAAATTCCAATGGTACTCCTTCCCTCGATTGGTTCAGTACATCTCCTCTCACTCACAGCACGGCGACAGAACGGAGTACGACTGTTGCCAGAAGCATCTGACGCATCTGAAGCCAGCTCGAAATATTGAGCTTCGGCGTTCAAAAACTTGGAACGGGGATTCACGGTGAGAAAGTTGGATTTGACTGGAGAACAGTTACCGGTCGATGCACAACGAGGCGAATTCAAGGGGGTGGAGAGGTGGGAATGGTCGAGACCGGACTGGTCTTTCAGGCGATGAGTGTCTGGTAGGGATTCTAGGCAGGTGGTGGATCTGGAATGATATTGTTGTAGGTTGGAATGATAAATGGTTAGCTCTCGTGGCTTTACAAAAGTTTTTGCGTAAATTTGTATGTGTTTTTATTGGAAAAGGCGACCAAACTTTTTTAAAGGTTTTTTGTTTCAAAAAAGTGCTAGACTTGATAAAGTAAACTAACAAAATAATGGTTTTTAGTTAAGATAAGGTCCTACTAGATATTATTTTTACTAAAAAATATTATCATACCTCGACCTTATCCTCTTCGACTTAAAAGGTGACAATTTCAACAGCGAATGTGAAGGATCCAGCCCGTTACTCTTCAAATACACCCCCATATTCTGAATATTCTTCCAAATCGGTGTACCCGTTCCAAAGCTCAGATTTCCATTGCCATTCTCAATTGGTGTTGAAGTCAATGCTGAGCGAGTACCAGCTGGGAACTTGTGAGTTTGTCGCAGATTCTTATTTAAAAAAGCATAGAACAGCCAGTTGAAGGCACTTTGGGTGTATGGCAGAGCATGTACCAGGTACATTAGTAACATAATATGAGTAAAGTCGGTGTATTCATTTAGTTCGGCGTCATTGGCATAGGGTATGACCATTTGGTCAGTATGATTCTCAGATGATGAGTATTGAGGGTATTGGAGTGGGTTGGTAGGTACGTCAAGATCGTAGGTTGGAGGTGGTACTGGGGCGTCTGAAATTGGAAAATTTTTGATTTTTAGGAAGATATAAAGTTATAATGATCTTAGTTTTTAAATTTTATGTTTTTGGTCAAAAAAAATTTTTTTTTTGAAAAATTTTAATTTTTGAAATTTTTTGAAGTTTCAAAAATGTTGATCTTATACCAAGTTTTTCACTATTCTGTTCAACGTAAAATTCAATTTATTTGTTTCGAAAATTGATTTAAATTTAATTTACATTAAAAACCTTCTTTTCAGTCTCTGAGCATATAATAGATACGTCTGTCTCGCTGTCACTTTGTTTTAGTAGACTCTTGGATTTCACTGGCTTTTCAATTGAAATTTAATTATAGTATATATATATGCTTGCTTTGAGAAATGTATTGAAATTTGAACGACATAAAGAAAACCCTTATGGTTATTTTGAAAAAATTTTTTTGGTCTATATAGATATGTAGTTATAATAACATGATACTTTATTTAATTTTGTGTATTAGGCTTGACATGGTTAGTATTGTATTAAAAGTGGGCATGGAAATTAGAGTATTGTGTTATTATTGTAGTCTAATCTTTTTTAGTACTCGGATTAATATGACGCTATAAAAGTGAATAAAATGGTCCTAGAGTTAAGTTTGCACTAGGTTAGGGCATGGTACTATTAGGTAAGGATTGAGGTTGTATTAAGCGTTAAATTGCAGTAGGGAAAGGTGATATTAGTGAGAAATCTGTTACAATTGAAATCCATTAAAATGACATTAAAAAGTTACAAAATTTATAAAATTTTTGTAAAATACGTGACATGATTCTTCGTTTTTATATAATTCATTTAGAACTCCTGTGTAATGAATCGCCTGGGGATTGACAAGTTGTTCGTTATACAGGATTTGCGTTATAAATGAATTTATTATACAGGCGTTCCACCGTACATTTAAAATTCGAACCGCAGACACATTGTAATTTAGTATTTATGAGATTTGTTGCAACAAAAAACCATTATCATCAATAATATATAAAGAATATTGTGCTCTAAAGCAAGTATTTAACTTAAAAATGTTTCCCAATTTTAAAATAATTAAAAAAATTTTTTTTTGAATTTTATAATCATCATTTTTTCCACATAAAACATCTCCTTTGCTTTAAAATGCCTCTAAAAACGTCATTCTAACACAACTTGAAACCTATGTCTATCTATGGCTAATCCAACTCCCTAAACCCCAATAAATTTTCCTTTATTTTATCCATTTTTAAACTCCAGTACGTACCTAAAACTCTTTTTTTTTGCAAACGTAATTGGATCTATTTGCATTTTATGTCTCTGTACTTTGTTGTACCTCTTCGTATCTTTTTGGAAAAACATAAATATTCAGTTTCTATTCTCCAGGGCGTGATTTCAACAAGTTTTTGTTGGGAACGGTTCGGAACGGTGGGAACAAAGAATGGAAACGATTTGGCAATATGCCACTTTTTGAGGAATTGGTTTTTGATTGGAAAAATGTCTTTTATAGATTTGGTCGGCGCGTATTTTACTTTTTTTCCGAGAATTTTTTTACAATATATCATATTATTAGGTTGTACAGAGAATTCTGTGCTCCTCCCTAGACAAATTTGTGGGGTTTTGGGGCACAGAATTATTTCAGAAGCCCGATATTTTAGACCTGAAAGGAGGCATACTAGGCGCGGTATTGGCTTTTTTAAACTGTAAAAAAAGGTTACAGGTCTATACCTATTGATTTTAAAGTAAAATAAAAATTTAAGCGTATTTTACGCTCAACCTAAAAGTATGTTTTAAAATTTATCAAAACAAAAGTTTGAAATCAATTTTTAAAACCAAGTTAGAGGCGAGATAATATAATCTTTGAATATATTTTAATGAGCCAGCGAAAAAATTTTTGAGCCTTTTAAAAGTTGTTTCAAAATATTCGTATTTGAATTACAGCATTATGTACATTCTCACGAAGTTTGATCTCTGTAAGGGCATGTTACCCACGCAAAAATATTTTTTTTGAAAAACCTGCTTTATCTTTGAAAAATAGATTTTTCTTAAAACGCCTTGACCGCAAAAATGTTTTTTATAAATCATCATGTACTTGATAACAAAGATGAAAGTTCATGCCATTGCAGCTTCTACTGGTCACTCATAATATCATATATCATACATCTTATCTTAACTCTTCTCCACACATATCTTTCCTAATGCCAATCAAAAGACCACCATATTTTCTTTTCCATTCTTATCTGATATTATACTACTTTAAAAAAGAATGATGGAATGCACTGACCGTTCCAAATGACCACCGTTCCGTTTCTCTTTCACTTTTCTGACAAGAACATGCGGTCAGAAACGTAAAGTAGCATGTGTTTTCTGCAGAAATTTAAAACAAAAACTGAGCGACAAGTACGAAATGTTCGTTAAGATGTCTGTCTGGGCTTTTGCGCTTTGGAAGGGGTAAAATACCAGCATATTAGTGATGTTTTAAAAGTTTTAACAACTAGTTTTGGACAGTAAAAGATGATTAATATGTTTGTACGATACTATAGTTAAAATTGTTAACTATTGACCCAATACTAAGTTAATAATGCCGCTATAGTCAATGTAGCACCAAGGCTAGTAAATATAGTACTAGCCTTAGCATCGTACTATAACTAAGATGATACTAGGGTTAATATGGGACTAGGGTTACTATTTTGATAGGGTTACTATAGTACTAAGGATAATATGGCATTATTTGTACTATAATACTGTGAACAATATAGTACTAAGGATTTTGTAGTACTACCATAGTGATTTATATGGTGTTAATGGTACTATATTATTATGACCAATTTACTAATAAGGCTGATATGGTACTAGTGTTAGCATGGTACTGTTTTAAAATTTAAAAAACCCTTACCTTCAGCAAACAGCGACAATATCCTCATTCCCCAGTAAGGCGTCCAACATATAAAGTAGAACGCCACTACCATTACTGAACACTTTACCACTCTACTCAATGATATCGTAGTCTTCGTCGCCATAGAACTTCTCCTGGTATGTTCGTACAATCTCCTCAATATCGCCACATATACCGAACATATAAAAACTAACGGTAGAACATAGCACGTTACCGACTGTAGTAAATCGAAAGTTCTTGACATCTGAACGACACACTTTCTGTGTTCGTCGCCTTTAAAGTCGGCGATTACGCTTACTGTAGCTTGAGCAGTGACCGGTAAAATGAACAAGAATGAGATCATAGAACATACGAAGATGACTAGACATGCGAAACGTGATCGTCGCATCCACATGAAGGTGGGACGACATACGGCAATGTAGCGGTCCACACTGAGAGCGGTTAGGATCAATGGTGATAAGGACTTGTTTACAGCTTCACATGTGTACAGAAGCTTACATACTGAAAGAGTTTGGTTAGTATATGTTGCATCATTTACTAGTTAGCCTTAACCTTAGTCTTAGCCACCAAAAAACTACAGTACCCTTTCCCCCCTCCCCTAAAAACGCACCATTAATGCCATAAGGCCATCGATTCTCCAAAATGTCGACAGCTAACAATGGTACCGGTACGAAGGATATTAGATCAACAACAGACAACATAAGTAGATATATACAAGCCGACGACTGTACGCCAGTAATACCTCGTCCCATCTTCTGTCGCCGAATAGGGCATTCTTTGATTTGTGGTGAAAATACAAAAGTTCCAAACAATTGATTTGACACTGTCATCATTACCCAAAAGTTGCCGATAAGGCCGGTCAAGGCCAGTACAGCGTATAGTACTATTACCACGTAATCCGCGTATAACATGTCCATTACTGTGTATTCGGACATGGTAAAAACAAAAAATAATTTTTGGCTGAAACGTTGTAGTTGAGCTATACCATTTCACTATTACACTCAAAAGCTTAAGTGCTATAGCTTTAGAATAGTATATGTATGTTGTAGTAGGTTAGAGAAGACAATGAAGCAATGTCTGACCAAAAGGTAGTGTAATATTGTTGTAGAATTTTAAAGTAACACGTCTTTAAAGTGTTGTGTTAGCTTTGAAATATGTTTTGAGGATGTAAACTTGCAGTATCTTTAAGGTATAATAAGTAATACTTAATTAGTAGTATGTTATGTTCTAGTTGTAGTACGTTTTTGATTCTTAAGTATATCTTTTGGGCTTAATAAGGTGCTTAGCTTTATACACAAGCTCTTGAACACAAGATATACTCAACAATAGTATCTTATGCACAAGATATACAGCTAGTAATACTATTGTATATAGTTAGATGTAGTGTAATATATATAAGATATACCTGTAGTAACACCACTGTATATAGTCAAAAACAGTATAGTATACACAAGATATACACTCAGTAACACCTCACAAAAAATATCGTAGAATGACCCGTAGAAAGCAATAAATTGTCGCCAGAAACGTACTCTTAAAACTCCGCTAGTACGTGTTATATACACTCGAACACCACCAACATACCATAAAACGTCGCTTTCGTCTGAAAATAAGGAATGTCGCTAGACTCAATAAATCGGCGCAAAGTCAATATGACACGACTTAATTAAGGCCGAATCTCGTTAAGTGTTTAAATTTAAAACAAAACAAACATGCGGAGAGGACAACGTGCTGTGAATGACAATCAGAATGTAGTATAATAAAGTGGGGAAACATTTGGAAGGGAGGGGGTGGGGTGGAAATGAAAGGAATTTAGAAGAGAAAGGGAGGGGTGAAAGTAGAAAGAATTTGAAAAGTAGGCGGAAGGGTGAAAGGTAAAAAAAATCAAAAAGAAGGGAGGGGTGAAAGTGGAAAAAATTTTTAAAGCTCAAAATGTTTGTTTTGCCTTTTAGCTCTTTGTATAAAAATTAATGAGCTACGGAACTGTCTCTTGCTATAAAAGACATAGCTCATCATGTTTTGTACAATCTAATAAATTACCTCACCAGATACAGCTTAAAAATCACAAAAGTATAGCACAACACAATCCTCATTATTATACATATAAGTACAAAACGTAAAGTATTGTACTCCAACTCCCACTCTTATCCTTCTTGTTACTCAACCTTATTCTTATTATTAACTCCACTCATATCCTCCTCAATACTTTCTCATATAGTAATGAGTAAATTTCCTCAACCATATACATACGAAAGAAGATGGGAAGGTCACGTGTGAATTTTCCCGTAAAGTTTAAGTACGACTTTTTCCAAGAAGTACGGCCAAAGACAAGGTTTCACATTTTAAGAAGTTGGGCAAAAACAATGTTTCAAAGTATGACAAGATGTTTGGTTGTTAGTTTTATGACAAATTGTTCAAAATTTTAAATTTTTGGCACAATTTCAAAGTAAAATTTTCAAAGAATTAAAAGAAACGGTGTTGTTTTACAGTATTATGTAGATTAGAAGTTGGAAAAACATCAAAAAACATGAAAATGAGTTGAAAAAACATAAAGATGATCCTAACAATAAGAGCTTTTATATATATTTTTTTTTAATTTTAAGACGTTTTGGAAGTCAATAAGAATGTAGAAGCTTGTAATAGTTAGGAATGTTATAATAAATAAAATCTTTGGCTAATTTTAGTTAACTACTCATAACCGTATACCAAACATACCTTAGCTTTTTAATAACCTTACCCTAAACTTATCATACCCTTACTCTAACGCTATCATAACCTCACCCTAGCCTTACTACACCCTTTATCATGGTCCTACTACAACCGTACTCTAGCTTCATCAAAACTTTTCTTTAGTCATACTATAACATTACCTTAGCTACGCTAAACCTACAATAAGCTTACCTTGAGCCTATACTAGTCTTACCATAACCTTACTCTAGCTTCTTTTTCAACCGTACCTTAGCCTTAACCTAACTGCATCTTAGACTTGCTTTAGACTCCATTGTCCTGATATAATCATACCTTAAACTTATATTACCTACTCTAATCTAATCTTACCCACGCCTTACAAAAAATGTAAACTAAAAGTTTTTCCTAACTTTCCATCCAAACCAGCCCACACCTAGTAACTATTTTTGAAAGCCCAAAAAGTCACATAGATACAATAAGTCATCACTTTTCAATTCAAAAATTAAAAAACAGACGAATTTCCCATCTGATACAATATAGCACGAGTCTAGTCATAACAAGCCTTTGCGTAACGAGAAAAGTTACAATTCCGAAATTAGACACTTGGCCAGAAACAGCTCATAAAAAAAGATTTTTGATGAATATGAAGAAAATTGGAGGTAATTTTAAAAATAATACCAATAGTCTTCAAAGACGTATATTACATGTTGAACCAAGTGTTTTTGCTTAATAAGTAAGAGAACTTGATGGGGCCGGCCCGAAAACCAGGTCTAGGAAGACTGGACTCAATTTTTTGGCTTGACCTCTGTTACACCCACTTCGGCTTGAGCCTAAGTCGGTCTAGTAAAACCTCTTTCCAGTCTAAATAAACCTTAAAATGTAACATAAATTTACTGTGTAATATAACTATTACACTGCCTTTTCACAAACGACAATTAAACCAATACGTGTTCTATGCGTGTCATTATGTTACACATATGTAGACAACAGTAACTCTGTGAGACCAAACAGTTTAACACGCAATTAAAAATCTAATTTGTGTTATAGTATATCATTATAGTATATAACATACACGGAACTAGTTTTGTTGAGTATTTTCATTAATATGACAACTTGAGCCAGTAAAACTTAGTATTGAAAAATAAATGATAAATTGTCCAAAAATTAGGTGCTCCTAATCCCGAATATTAGCTTTGAGATAAGGCACAGAACTTTTTGAACAACCTGATAAAATTTTTTATTTACTATAACAAAATTTTGTATTTACTTTAGTAAAAATGTTACTATGATAACATGTAGGCGTTTATGTTTGTTTTTCCCATTGTTATAGCCTGTACTTGATGTAAATTGTATGGTAATTGACCTAACTTTTGACAACTTTTAAGTTTTCAAAAATAAAAAAATTATTTGCAATGTCTATTGACTCTACATAGTAGAGACTACAACTACTGGCTTATTAACATTATGTTTGCTATCGTTACAACAGCTTCTTTACTGCATGGCTATTAACTTTACAACGATAGATTTTTTTGAAAAAGGTTTTTTTGAGTAGTTTTGCACGATATGGTACTAGAACGATCAAAGGGCGTGTACTGATGTAAAATGACATTTGTAGGTTGGTATTGTAATATTACTGCAGAAGTAAATGTGAACTTACACAAAGGCTATTTATCAACGAAAAATGTTGATAATAAGATGGCTAATTTAGTTAGCTATGCGTGGCTGAACTGCCTATTTTTAAAAGTTTTTAAAAAATTTAAAATTCATATTGTATTTTATGAGCAACAAAATTACGTAAACGTATTTTACCAAGCTTTAAAATTAAAAGTCAATATGTCATTTTAGGCTTATATGTAAATCATTAAAAGCTATTTTTGAAATTTGTATTATAATAATTATAATTATGAACATCAAAGTATTACTATTCTTTGACCTATATTGACCTCATTTCTAACCTACAACAACTCCTATTCTTCATGTCATAATATAATTTCGTATGTTATCACTGACATGCACATCCTTCACAAATTGAATATGAATCCTATTCTTATAGAGACAAGGTTATTTAATCATAACATTGCTTACTAACCTTATTGTATCAAATCTTAACTTTGTTTTCAAAGTTAATATACTAGGTCTTTCAAATAGTTCTGTGCTCCTTCTTAAACATTAAAAAATATTACCAATTTATATTATTATAGGTATTATTATAACATTTTATGCTTAAAAAACATTTTTTTCTAAAATATAATGTTTATGTTCATATACACTTATATACTCATCCTCGTCCCATACAACAGATGGATATTATGTATGAACAGACGTTGAAAAGAATTTGAGACCAAATTCAATTTTCGCACGAACGGCGGGATTTTCGAAAAAAGACACATGGAAAGGGGAGGACTTTTCGAAAACATACGATCCTGTCGAGTACAAGTATCAGGTTGTGATAGACGTTGAGGGAAAGGGGGGTTTAATGTTTAGTCAACATTAAAAATAAAGCTTAACGTTGCTTATACATGGTTGTCTATCTAATTCTGTGCCCTCTTCACATAAAATTTTTGGTGTGAGGAGGCACAAAAGTATTTAAACAAGCCAATAGTTCAAAATTTAAGAATTATGCATAAAAAAGTTAATTTTAAAATACGAAAAAACCTTTGAACAAGTGCATTAACTTGTTACAGTGGTCTCTCTATATAGTACACAACGTAAACCATCTGTATAAGCAACTCTTCTTATAGTAAACAAAAAATTTTGCCCCGCCAAGTCAATTTTCACTAAAAAGTCTCTCTGTAAAAACAACACCCCCTATAGTAAACACAAAATGTCGGTCCCTTCAGGTTGCTTATATAGAGAGAGTACTGTATAAGCACAAGTGATGCAAAATTGTAAACAAAATAAAAATAAAAACTTTTTGAAAAAAGTTTAGTAGAACTCACTTAAATAACAAAACAAAATTTTTTGTTATACAGGAGTTTCGCTGTATTATTCAAACCCACAAATGCTACACAACCCTCAGAAGTCCTCAAACTCATCAAAAAACAGAGATTTTGGAAAAAGTTTAAGATTAGATATCTTTTTGGTCACTTGGGGCCTTAAACATCATTCAATCGTACAATGACCAAAACATACGTTATGTTTTAGAAGATTCTTCATAAATCGTTGAGAAAAAACTTGATATTGTTACACTTTAGCTAAACTTAATTTTTTTTTCAAGTGGTATTAAAAACGACTGTTTTATGGCTAG